TTTTTTTTTTTAAAGTGCGTGTGTGTGCATGTGTCTGGTAGAGAGGGAGTGGGAAGGGAATGTCACCGTTACTGGAAAGCAGTCCACCCCTCTGCGCTCCTTCTCAGAAACAAACTTACTGCAATGGGAATAAGGGGCTCCAGTGCTATATGGAGCAACTGGAAAGCAGAGGTACTCCAAAGTGAAGTGACAGGGTAACCTCTGAGCAAAGAGGTGGGCATGACGTGCTGCTTGGAGAATGAGGAGAAAACAGCTTGTCCTTTCTGTAAGTGGTGCAATGTACTGGCCATCCAGACCAATAGACTTGGCTCTTCAGGAGAGAGCTGAGCTCTGCATGAACAAAAGAACAGCACCATGGCTGCACCATGAGCTCTTCCCTCCCTGTCTGTATTTCCACCACTGCTGGTCTTGACCTAGCTGGGAAAGACCCTCTGTGCTCTGCTAGGCTGAGGCAGTTATTTTGAGCAGTGTCACCCCTGCTACCAGCTCCCTCTGGAGTTAGCTTGCTTTCCTTTCTCCTTTCATCCTTGTTTTCAGAGAGAAAGTGTGGATTTTGCACTAGAGGATGAAATGCTCCTGAAGGTTCTGTGGAAGTTGAAGTGCCATCAGTCAGACAGACACCCTATGTGTCAGTAACTGCGCTGGGTTTGCAAGGTGTGTTTTCTCAGGTGGGAGTGTGGTAATGCTCGATACACTCGGGGTACCTCAACACGGCTACCCAAACGGAGACTTGGCTCCCGTGCTGCCAAAACCAGAGTTCGACCAGCCTTTGTGGAGGAGCCAGTAAAGGAGGAACTGGGAAGATCTCAAAGAGGAAGCATTGTGGTAGCAGCGAGGTTACCAAAAGCATCAGTAGCTGGTGAGTGTGATAACTGCAGGTAAAGGTAGAATCTGTGTTGCTCTAATAGCTGAATTTGTGAAGCCTATCTGCAGCACCAAGTAGGAAATGAATACTCAGATGACATCATCTACATGGGTCCCTTTCTTAATGCTAGGAAGTATTTACAAGGATTTGGCCAAGATAATGGGTAACCCAGAACTGATGTCATTGACTTGGGAATTCCTGGGAAGGGAAGTTAATTTTCAGAAATAGCACTGGTACTTCTGTCACCCAGGTCTCAGAGGAGATGCTTGTTTACTCAAGTATCTGTTTCTTTAGGTGGAACAAAGGATGTTTTCATGACCGTCTGTACGATTTTCTGGTATATGTGAGAGAATTGCAGTGTATGTGACAATGCATACAACTAGCTGCTGTGGGACACCCAAAAAGTAATTAGTAAACCACAGTCTGTTTAGCCAAATTTGTAAATTGCCTATGGCTGGACCAAATAAGAATATCTCGTGTCTTACAGTGAAAATTGCCTTTTTTTTCTGAGCGCAGATGGTTCAAAAAGGGCACTTTGAGACCTCTCTTCAGTTACGTACTTCATGGTTTGCTCAAAGCTTGGTACTGAATTTCACCCCCTTGCAGGCTGAAAATCTTATTTCATCACCAGGAAAATTGTAGCAAACTTTAGCCTCTGGCAGACTATGTCAAAACAAGAGTGTAAGATGCAGTCTCTGCAGAGCTGGTCCTGATCAGTAGGGTCTGAGGTCCCATACGCACCCATTTTTGGGGAAACAGGGACTTTACTGTGCCACTTCTAATTAGCCTGAGATGTAGTAGCAGAAATTGCAGATCAAAGAGTCATACTGGTCACTTTGCTTGAGCTGCGATACTTGAAGAAATGATGCTTGAACGTGTGCTGTGTCCAGTATGTGGAAGGAAGGGGGGCGGAAAGGCTGCGGGGTGCCCTACCCGCCTGACACTGCAGGGGAGAAAGCAACAGATTCAATCCAAAGCAGAGACACTGAAATACATATACTTCATCATAATAAACCAGGTAACTAGTCAGAGCATCTGAGGCATTAAAGGCTTTTTCTTCATGTGTTCAGATGCAAAACTATGAGGTGTCCCTCTGCTAAGAAAGAAATGGGCTGACTATGTGACTCAGGGAGGATAAAACTAGCAGCTACATCTCTGTCCCAGGGAGAGAAAGATGTCATCTACATCACGTTTGAGGAACTATAGTTCTTTGTTTTATCTAAATAGCCTTTTTTTTATTCTGTAGAATTACAGCTTCAGGAAGTCTTGCATGTCTGGTTCAGAAAGTAGTCAGATCAGCAGTTTTAGCTTGGGGTTTCAGCTTGTTCCGGGGCATGTTCCCTAAAATCCAGCTTCCTTTAAAGTCTTTTGCATAGTTTGTTGGGACAAGATTCTATCACCAGTCATGGGGCAGGGTGTGCAAAAGGTTGGGTTTAAATAATTTATCTGAAAATAGACCCATATGCACTCTTTCAGTGGCATTGCTTTGAATTTTAACAAGTGCTTGTTTGTTTGTTTGCTTGCTTTTAGGCAGGACTCAAACATAGCTAATGGCTTCTTGGTGGCAGAGTGGGCAGTATGAGCTGCTACCGCACTGGGAGCTTCAGTAAAGAAGTCAGGAAGAAAAGGCAGCAAAAATGAAGTTTCCACCGCACCAGCAAGGATGTGCTCTGCAAGAACGGATGGTGCTGCTGCCTCCATCGTCTTCCTCAGCCGGAGGACAGTGGGTGGTGTCTCTTAGCCTGGAACCTCGTATGAATTTGTGGCACCAGCTCTTGCCACGCTACATTCAGCTTTTTGCTCCAGGCTGCCCATGCTTGCCACAGGCAAGTTTTACTGCAGCAATAAGCAGAGCTCAGCTGAAATCACATTCAGCAAGCCATCCAAGTGCAGACGTGCCTCCACCCAAAGACTGAAATGAGACCTGCGCAGTTCTCATCAGCTTACTGACTTCGGGAAAATGAAGATAGTCTCCAGTTTTCACCGCTCTGTGCAGAGAGGGAACAAGCCATCACTGACAAACGGCAGCGCTCCCAGGGAGTGGGCTGAGCTCAGCTGTAACATTAACACTTCAGCTAAAGCAAACAGACACCTGTCGTGGCGGAACGTAGCTGTGGCAAAACTACACCGATTACCTTTCCCTCCCAGCTCCAACAGAAAATGACTCCCTGTTTTTCAGACACGTCTGCCTCCTGCTCAAAGACACTGTTCTCCTGGTGCAGTTGTTAAAACTATATGCTGAGGCACGTCTATTGAATAAATGCTGAAAAGTTGCCTTAGTGAATAATTAAAAGCCTATAACGGAATTCACTAGGTTAGTAGATTTGATTTTATACTTGTTTCTTATCTTCTGTAGTTCCTTCTCCTTTTGGTAACAACTAGCAGGCACATGTTAATCCTGCGCATAATACCTATGCATAGCTTTTGGATGGACTTTTAAAGGTACCCCTACAGAGCACACCCGGAATGTCCCTCTGTCACCAGCCATAAGTCACATCCTCAGAAAGCACTGCGTGTGCCTGCAGAGCATGAAACGTGATGACTTTTGCCCATGAAATGGTCTGCTGCAGCAGAAATGTGTGCCAAGATAGTCTGTGATGCAGTGAAAATGAGAGCGCCAGGCAGTGAGCATGATCACCGGTAGACAGGAAAAGCTTGTGTAGCATTAAATGCAGGTGACTCTAGCTTGTTAACCTTTCATTCCCCGTGGCCCTGGTAGGGATAACTGGCTCTGTAGCTGCACTGCAATCGTTTCTGGGAAGGTCATAGAAAATGGAGCTTTTGCAGGGAAATCCTGTCATAGTAAAAAAAAAACACCACCATCCTGCTCTTTACTACCTTTTCTCTGCGCATTTTCTGTTAGAAAAAAGCATCACAAGTGGCATCCTAAGTTTTCTGGTCTAAAAGGCTCAGACTGTTTGGCAAAGAAGCTAGGGCTGGTTGTCTTCCTCACTCAGGTCACAGACTGCCCTACTCTGAAGGTGAACGGGGTTACCCTCAGAGACACGGTCGCTGCAGAACGTAGTACATACATCTGGTGGAAGAGCTGGGTACCGTCAGCAGAAGACAGTAAAGAAATGGAATTGGCCATCAACAGGCTGGTCTCTGCCCCATGCTCCTGCTCAGCGTTAGGTGAGTCAGTGCACTCAGACCTGTGCTTTTCCATTTCTGGATGCCCAGTTTTGAGCCCTCACAGTACAATGGAGAGAGGTGCTGAGCACTGTGATGGACAATATCATCACACACAAGTCAGAGGGAACTGAATTCATACTTCACAAGCAGCCTCAAGTTTGCTTTCCCTTGTTACCAAGTGCTGGTCATCACAAAGTTCTGTCACTGTGAAGTGAATGCAAATGTGGAAGAAAAGAAAGGAAAAAAAAAAAAAAAAGAAGAAAAAAACACACAATTATGAAGAATAGTAAAAAAGAGCACTAGTCAGAAGTCAAGAGAATGGTAAGAGAAGTGGGTGGGGAGAGGGGGATATGAAGTGGAACTGCAAAGATCCTTATAGTCTTTGCCCATCCTTTACCCTTCACCTAAGTCAGCAGTGAAATGGACTCGTGATATTTCAGAAAGAGGATCCTAGATGACAAAGGACAGAAGAAAGGGAAGTGTTCTTCACTTGCCTTCTGGGTCCAGGAGTGTGGGGGTCTCACAGGGTGCAGGGAAAGGACGGACCTGCAGTTCCGGGAGAATGGGAGAAGTTGTGCGGATAGTGGCGTTTGTGATGCCTTTCATCGGCTGCAACGGTGAGTGAATGCTTGCACGTATAAGAACAAAAATTAGAGTACTAAGAGGGTAGGGAAAATCTTTTGAATTGCAGTGTCTTAATTTTTAAAAACTGTCAAGTGTAGAAAGTCTTTAGTTTCTTGCACAAAAAACAGCCTGAGAGTTCACAGGAGTCGTCTTTGGTATCAGATACATGAAGGTGCTTTTATGAGTGGAGCAAACGGGGCAGTCTTGGGCAAAAGGTCAGCTCCCATGCCCCAAAGCAGCAACAAACCAGGATTGTTCAGGACCCTTGGAGAGGCCCTGCTCTGGTGTTTTAGCTTCCAAAACAGTCTTTGTGAAGCTGGAATATGCATTCTTCTAGAATTTAATAATGCGTCACTGTTGTTCTGCTAGCATGGTCCTGGGAAGAAGAGCTGTAATTGTGAGACTAGATGTGGGCATACACGATTCCCCTTGGTCCCTCCTGATCTGCTGACTCTCTAGGTTGCATTAGGAGAGGTGATAGGGGAATGTTTCCTTTGATTCATATGCCCATGAGGCCTATGTGCTACTCCCTGGGCAGAGGAAGTTTTGGGAAAACAGGAGAAAGGTGCTTTAACCAGTTGCATACAAAAACACAGAATTGCTCCTGACAGTTAGAAAAACAGGTTGAAGTATGTTCCCTGTTTCATCATAAAAAGCAGCTTTGCAGATTTCTGGGATCTGCCTCTCAAGCACCTAATTGTGAGTTAATGCAGCTGGATATAACCAGCGCCTTTCTGGGGAGGAGGGGAAAGGGGGAGCAGGTAAGGGGGTATGGGTAGAGGTGAGCCAAGTCCAGCTAAATTCAGGTAATTTGTTACTTGCAAGAGGCACTTCCCAGAGGAGCTGTGGTCTCAGTGGGCAGACAGCTGGAGAGACTGGGAGAATGCAACGGGTACCACAAAATCCACCCCCTCTTCTCCTGTGCCCACTTGAGTGCTTGGCAGAGTGCTTATCTGGTTGAAGCAGCTATGATCCAAGAAATCTGGGTCAGATCTGAAGATCTCTAAGGCTAAAGCAAAAAGATGGGGTTTGGTCCACCATTCCTGTTCTAGGTCCAGTACTTCAGAACAGATCCCTAACGGCCAGCCTGCATGGCACTTCCATGCCTCCAGGACAGCTGGTGCTGGCAGGCTAGGAAGGAAGATGCTCAACTGTTTCAGAAAATGGGCCAGAATATGAGAGGGTTTGGGTTCCCCCCCCCCCATTATCACACATTATAGATAGTACAAAACCCTCTGATCAGTTTTCTAACTTCTAACATAGCCCTTCAGGTTTTCACCTGGTCCAGCTCTATTTCCCTCCAGTGGGAGAATTCACATCGTTTGTCTGGAAGACTACATCCCTATTTAAGAAATGTCACTGGGAGGAAATACTTCTTTTAAAAATGCTATCTCAGGTATTTTTATTTTGCAGTTTTTCCCATTCCTTCCAATCAGCTCTCATTTGGAGTCATCTCTGCTGATGCTGAAATTGGTCATATACAGAGTGCAGCTGCTCCGCAGAGAATCAGTGGATGTTGGCAGCTATTTCATGGCACACAGCAATGTAAAGCAATACAGGAGAGATGTTTAAACAAAATTGTGTCCAGATGAGTACACTGGATAGCAAACAGATTTGAACTTGAGTGCACCAAATGCCTTGAGGGTATGTCTGAGCAGTTTTCTAAATAACTTCCACCCTTCTTAGTTTTTCTTGGTGGGAGTCTGTGAAAAGAGGAAAAGGAGAAATGGAAAACCTTTAAAAACTGGTACATCAAGGAGCTGTGTTTGACCGGGATGTGAGATTTGAAGAACGGAGCTGTGCCTGCCCTTCCTCTGGTAAAGGAAAACCAAAGCTCCATGTCAGAAACAAGCTTCCACTACGCTCAGCCCCAGCAGTCCCCTTGGTTGTCCCTGTGGACACAGATCCACAGATGCTTGCTTCCTCCCAGCTGGCACCTCCTGTTAGCTCTGGGACAGGCTGCTGCACAGACAAGTACTTCTCCCCACACAGCTATACTGCTGGGTCCTCTGAGCACCAGGGACATTGCATAAAAGTATAGTGACGTTAACAAATGCAAACGTGTTGCATTCATTGTTAATTGCAGTAAACTTGCTTTGTTCATCCTTCCTCCCATATAGAAGGTAGAAGTCAACACTGCAAGTGGTGTTGTCAGAGCATCCCGTGGCAGCGGGGAGAGGCCGTTGCTGTTTGACTCATCTCATGCAAGCGTAAGCAGAAAGCCAAGCAGCAGAAGTAGGGTGTAAAGGCTGGGGCTAGAGAGCAGGAATAAAAGATGCTCCTTAAGCTCTTGTGAAGACTGTAGCTGTGACGCTGCCACCAGGAGCAGGATTTGTGCCTCTCTGTACCAAGAAGGAATTGAGAACTGGCACGTGTCCAGAGAGAAACAATAAAAATAGCCATGAGGTCAAAGCAACTGCTCACTTCCCTATGCTCAGGGAGGTGGGGACAGGCCCTGGTTTAGCTGGCTGCGGTCTACAGCACATCTAAGATGTGGCCGCATGTTGGCTTCCACCGCCTAGCGATTCCTGTCTGTCTGAAGGATGTTATCCTCTTCTGCTGCCTTCTTATTTCTTCCCTTCAACTGTTGTTCCCTGCAGCCCTCCTGGATCTGTCTGGTGTCCACCAGGTCAAGGGCACGTGGATGGAATCCACCACTTTACCATGTACCTACACACCCTCAGAAGGTTTCACACAGCAAACGCTCATCTGGCGTGTGGAGCGAGACTATATCACCCGTACCATCTTCCGGAGGGACGATTCTGGTGACCACGTCTTGTTGTCTCAGTTCCGAAACCGGGTCAGCGTCCCAAAGCACAGCCCAGGGGATGTCTCACTCCTAATTGAGAACCTTGAAATCACTGACAGTGGACACTACACCTGTCAAGTCATCTGGAGGTCTAAAAATAACAGCTTGATAACAAAGGAGTTGAGCACTACAGTTAAAGTTGTCAAAGGTAAATCCAGCAATAGAGCCCTGCTCTTGCGTAAGCCAGCCTAATCCACAGAGCGTGCAGGAGAAGCAGCTGGTGGCAAG